AGTACAGCTGTATATGATTGATTCCAGCAGATGGCAGTAATGTGTTGTATAAGATGAAGTGCATTGGCTAAAGAGTGGTGTGGTAATGGAGATATGCTGTGTGTACAACCACGTGGAATAAAGAAGCCTGTACCAGTCATTTCTCTTATCTTTATTATTGTTGCCTGAACAATACATGGTACCAGGAGTGGGGTCAGTAGAAAAGAGCAATGGATGCCATTAAACCACCGGGGCCGTTGAAGTTGTGTGGAAATGTGGATGCAAATTGGAGGACTTTCAAACAACAGTTCGAGTTGTATGTTGTCGCTATTGGACAAGCAGCTGCTGTGGACGAAAGAAAGATTGCTCTGTTACTTACCATTGCTGGAGCTGATGCCGTGGAGGTCTATAACACCTTTCAATTTGAGGAAGAGGCAAACAAGATGAAACTGGATAAGGTCTTGGAAAAATTTGATGCTCATTGTTTGTCAAAGAGGAACGAGACATATGAACGATATGTATTCAGAACGCGAATGCAGCATGAAGGAGAGGCTTTTGATTACTTTCTTACAGACCTCAAAATAAAGGCAAAGACTTGTAATTTGAATGAATTGAGAGATTCAATGATTCGTGATCAGATTGTTTTCGGTATCTATGATAAGAAACTGAGAGAAAGATTGTTACGAGAATCAGAGCTCACCTTGGATTATGCTGTTCAATTGTGCCAGTCCAGTGAAGTAGCAAGACAACAAGTGAAACAATTTGATGGTTCTAATTCGTCAGCGATGTCATTTCAGAGCGCAGCAGTAGATGCCATATCATACAGAGACAGGAAAAGAGGAAACTCAAGAAATTTCAGAGAAAACGACAATGAAACTTTCTCTTGTAAGCGTTGTGGGACCAAACATAAGTTCAGACAGTGTCCGGCTTTCGGAAAAAGATGTTCGAAATGTAATGGCCTGAACCACTATGCTGCAACATGTGTATCCAGAGAGGATTCAGTGAAGTTTTCGTCTTCGAAATGGATTGTTCCTCTTGTGGTTAATGGGACCATTGTGCCTTTTAAATTAGACACGGGTGCAAAAGCTAATTTGATTAACATTAGAGATGTGAAAGCATTGAAAGAAAAACCTCTCATTAAAAAACGTACAGTTCCCCTTAAAGCTTATAATGGACAATCAATTGAAACACAAGGAGTATGTCGATTAACATTACAAGTCAAAGGAAAGATGCAAAGTTTGATGTAGTTCCCAACGGCCATGAATCTCTTCTAGGAGATAAAGCTTGTGAAGACCTTCATTTGGTTAAAAGAGTGTATCAAGTCAACAGGGAAACGGTAGTCTTACAGACTGTCTGTGATGATGTAACTGACATTGTCAAACAATTTCCAGATGTTTTTGAAGGTCAAGGCACATTGCCATTTACCTATAACATACAACTGAAAGATGATGCCACACCAGTCATACATGCTCCTCGGCGGGTTCCTGCACCTCTGCGAGATCTCTTGAAGCAGGAATTGGATCGCATGACTCAATCAGGAGTTATACAGCGGATTGAACAACCTACAGATTGGGTGAATTCCATCACTTGTGTGAAAAAGCCAAATGGTGAGTTGAGAGTATGCTTAGACCCTAAAGATCTCAATGATTGTATAAAAAGAGAACATTACCAGATTCCCACCCGTGAAGAGATCATTAGTGACATGTCAGGAGCTAAGTTTTTTAGTAAATTAGATGCTTCTCAAGGGTTTTGGCAGATCCGATTGGATTCTGAGAGCAGCAAGTATTGTACTTTTAATACTCCCTTTGGAAGATATTGTTTTCTTCGACTTCCATTTGGGATCAAGTCAGCTCCCGAGATTTTTCATCGAGCCATGGAAACCCTTATTGAAGGTCTGGAGGGTGTTCGTGTATATATTGATGATCTTGTGGTGTGGGGGTCCACCCTTCAAGAGCATAATCAACGACTGGTAAAAGTGATGGAAAGAGTTCGTGCACATGATTTAAAGCTCAATCAGAAAAAGTGTCAATTTGGAGTCACAGAGATAACATTCTTGGTTGACAAGCTGTCGGCAAAAGGTGTACAAGCCCTCCTTGATATGCCTCCACCTAGTGACAAGAAGGGAATTCTGCGTGCTTTGGGAATGGTAAACTTCCTTGGAAAATTTCTGCCAAATCTTTCAGCGAGAACCACACATATGAGAAAGTTGTTACAAAATGATCAAGAGTTTGTGTGGTCATCAGTTCATGATCAAGAATGGAAGAGGTTAAAGGGGATTCTTACCACTGAACCTGTCCTTGTTTTTTTGATCACACACGTCCAACTAAGATCTCTACAGATGCCTCTCAGGATGGATTGGGGGCGGTGCTTCTTCAGGCCATTGGGGATTCCTGGAGACCTGTGGCCTATGCTTCTCGATCTCTGACAGAGACTGAAAGACTCTATTCTCAAATTGAAAAAGAGACCTTGGGGTTAGTATTTGGCTGTGATAAATTCCATGGATTTGTTTATGGATTGCCTACTTTTACAGTAGAGACGGATCATAAACCATTAATATCTATCATTCAAAAGAACTTAAATGACATGTCACCTAGAATTCAACGCATGATGATGAAGTTACAAAGATATGATCTGAATTTAGTTTATACCCCTGGAAAGTATATCATTGTAGCTGATGCACTGTCTCGAGCACCAGCCGCCTCAGAGATCAGCAATATGGACGAAGTTGAGAGACATGTGAGTATGGTGGTTTCATCTCTACCAGTCTCAGATGAGATGTTAAGACTCATTGCGGAGGAAACTGCAAAAGAGGGTTATTGCACATCTTCATTGTGGATGGCCCAAAGGCAAGTGTCCACAGTATTTTCCATTAAGGGCAGAATTGAGTGTGGTTGAGGGCATGCTGATGAAAAATAACAGAATTGTCATTCCAGTATCAATGCGCCAAGACATGCTTCGTCGAATCCATGAAGGGCATCTTGGCATTGAAAAATGCAAGAGAAGAGCTAGACAAGCTGTTTTTTGGCCAGGAATTAACGTGCACATTGAGAAATTCATCAGTCAGTGTGCGGTCTGTTTGAGTCATCATTATAAACTGGCTAAAGAACCCATGATGGTAGCTGCTCTTCCTACTGAGCCGTGGAAAAAAGTAGGCACTGATCTTTTCCAGTTGAATGGTAAGGATTATTTGGTGGTTATTGATTACTATTCCAATTATCCTGAAGTTGAACAGCTCCGTCAAACAACATCGAACGAGATGATTCAACGTATGAAATGCATTTTTGCAAGGCATGGAATTCCTCATTGTGTGCAAAGTGACAATGGTCCCCAATATAATAGTTATGAATTCAGGCTGTTAGCAGAGCAATATGGCTTTAAGCATACTACTTCAAGCCCTCTTTATCCAAAGGCAAATGGTAAAGCAGAAAAAGGGGTACAAATTGTAAAAAGACTTTTGAAAAAAGCAGCGGCAAGTAATTCGGATGAAAATCTGTCTCTGTTGAGTTACCGTTCCTCTCCACTCAGTTGTGGATTATCTCCTGCCGAGTTATTGATGAATCGCAAACTGCGTGACACACTTCCAAAATTATCTCTGAAAAAAGAAATCAACGATTTGTCATTGAAAGAGATGCAACATATAAAAGAGAAGCAGAAAGAATATTATGACAAGGGAAGTCGGCAACTAAAACCTCTTTCTGAACGAGATGTCGTTAGAGTTGCGGAGCCTACAGGATGGAGAAAGAAAGCTACAGTCCTAAAAGAGATAAACCCGAGATCATATCTTGTTCATACAGAAGATGGGCAGACCTTACGGAGAAATCGACAGAGTTTGCTTAAGACTGCAGAGAAATGTCCTTTGGATGAGCCAACTGTGGAGCTGATGTCCCCTGAAATGCAGTCTTGTGAAATGCCCTCAATGCCCTCTGTTGATCAGCAACTTGATCCTGATTCTGAACTTGATTCCTCTGTACCAAAGACTGACATTCCTATCTTACGGAGATCTAATCGAGTTCGAAAACCACTTGTTCGAATGGACTTGTAATTGGTAAAAAATGAATTAAGTGTTATAGTCAAGTGTTTGTAATTATGTGAAAGTTCATGTAACATGTAACATAAAAAAAAAAAAAAGGAAAAGAGATGTAATGAGTACAGCTGTATATGATTGATTCCAGCAGATGGCAGTAATGTGTTGTATAAGATGAAGTGCATTGGCTAAAGAGTGGTGTGGTAATGGAGATATGCTGTGTGTACAACCATGTGGAATAAAGAAGCCTGTACCAGTCATTTCTCTTATCTTTATTATTGTTGCCTGAACAATACAACTAGTATGCAGAATTTCTGAGTTTTCAGACGAAGGTTTTTACAGACGCTTCGGTTATGGTAGGTTTAGGTATGGGTAGGGTTAGGGTTAGACCACTAGGAGGCGCCTTCTGCCCAATATATATCTGCGTCTCATTTGACTAAAGGGTGCCATGAGCGTTGGATGTCTACACTTTGGCAAAAGCATCGTATATGACGCCTTGGGATGAGAACGGACTCTACTGACCTGAGGCATGCGTTTAAAGAGATAACGTATAACGAAAAATGGATACGCTCAATGGTCTCACTGTAAAAACTGTCTGATTTTCTTGTGTTTGTCTGAGCTGTCACTTTGGTGGCTTACCAATGTATTTGATTTTTCTAATGCATATAATAATAAGCTTGACCAGAGTTCTTGTGGGGAGAATAATTTACTGAAGGTAGTGTAGCACATTCTTCAGCGATGACGTTAGCATGTCTTCAGAGAATCTGAACCCAAATTTCTGTCTGTGGGACAGACCCTTATACCTAAAGCTAATTTACAAACAAAAGACATCACAGAGACCACTAAGAGAAACAGCCGTTTGACTCATGGGAAGAACTCTGCTAATAATTTCCCACAGAAACTTCAGGATAACCAACGGATGAGTTTAATGATCATCTGTTAAAACATTTAAAAATACCTAATCTTTCATGAGTTTTTTTTTTACTTTGCATTTCAGTGCTGATTTCAATCATCCACTCTGGACACACTGAAGGTGAGTGAATTTGATTCATACATGTACGGTGGCCGAGAGAGCTCAACGCGCTGAAGAAAACATGCAAATAGAAAAAAAAAACTACACCGTATATTTCATAAATATCGAATCATAGAGTATCTTTTGACATTTGCTTTGTCTTGAAAATTAGCAACTCTACAGACACCTTAAAAACTGAACATACTGAATAAAAACAAAGTCATTTGAACTACAACAACAATTTGCAACACTTTGCTGATACGGATTTGTCTCTCTGACTGGATGTTGGTTCCTGTGTTGAGCTCAGGGTGTGTTTGAACATAGGCTGCTCTTTGCATCTTTGTTGTCCTTTAACTCTTTGCATTGCACTGAATGAATGTTAACCTTGATGTTGCCAGTTACTATACTACATTGTCTATGAAATCAAAATGATTTACCAGTGAGAGAACGAGACTTGACTTAAGTTAACACTGGGGATTTTGCTGTGCAGTGAGAGAATGAGATCTGCTGAAAAACTTCACATCTCATGTTCCCACTGACTTTATATTGACAGATTTCCCCAAACCGACTCTGACTGTTGAGCCACAGAGTTCAGTGTTCACTGGAGACAGAGTTACTCTGACATGTTCGCTGGATCAGACACTGGGTGGATGGGAGTTTCTCTGGAGTAAAGACTCAAACGCTGAAACTACTGATGCTGCAAATAAAGTAATCGATCCTGTGCAAATCTCTGATGGAGGACAGTACAGATGCAGAGCACGAAGAGAAGGACGTTACACAGATTACAGTGAACCAGTAACAGTGACAATACATGGTGAGTATTTACTCTCACTTTATGACCTGCTCGGAGAAATTACTAACAATAATTTCATAAGACACTTAATACATGACTATAAAGCCCTGAACACCCCAAGCCGACGGTCGGCCGTCTGGCAGATTTTGTGCGTTGGCCGACTAAGTTTCCTTGGTGTGATACACACAGTTCCGTGCTGTTGGCTGAAAATCATCGGCTTTGTTTCGCGCGATTCGACATGTTAAATCGGCGTCGGGCCGTTGGGGAAAGAGAGAACTCTGATTGGCTGTTCAGCTTAGTGAAAGAGTCAGTGCACGAGAATAAACGCAAAACAGCAAGCAAAGAAGTCAAAACGGTAAAGCTAGACGGCTGTTCTTATGTTACGTCTTCTTACCTGAGTGTTCCTTGGCGAATATTTCAATATTAACACGAGTGGAGTGGAATAAAGAAAGTGTTCAGCAGGATTGATATTCTAAACGGTAAGGACACGCTGTTTTGTTTAAGTTATGTGTATCTGAAGCCGGCAGTGTCGGTTTTCTTTTTGAATGACGAATATCCACAAGTTTCCTATGTCCCATGAGGCCTTGCGTCAAAAGTGGGCGCGTCTTCCGGTTGGAAGTAAACAAAGCGCGACTTGACATGCTTGACACTCGTTCATTCAACAGTTGACAGTCATTCAAGTTATAGCGATCCAAACTAGCTAACGATGTGGGAACACAACCTCAACGAAATTCGTAAAATAATTTTCTGAAAAATAGCTAGCCTCTTTGCTGACTAACACACAAAACACCATTGGAATGCTACTTCCGCCGCCTCACCGTGTTCAAGTGCAGCTTTTTACCCCGACGAGAGGCGACAACAGTTGGCTTTCATCAGCGCTAGGTCGTTGGCGTCTGCTTGGTGTGTTCCGGGCTTAAAGGTGCAATACCTAAGATTTTTGCATTAAAATATCCCAAAATCACAAGGCCAGTGTTATATATTTAGTAAAGATGATAACTCACAATATTCCAAATGTTTCAAACAATGTTTATATCGCGAGAAAATTGAGATTTTAACCAAGGAAATGGAACGTGTGAGCAGGGGTGAGCTGGGAGTCGCGAGTCAATCGCGTCATATCCGCTTACCTCGGTTTCCGCTCTTACTACGTGTAGTCCTGGACAAATGCGGTAGTTGTGCGTTAGCGTCTAAACGACAGCTTGTTTCGCGCATTTGTTATGGAATGGAGCACATATATTCTTTTCATTTATTCTCGGAATGTGAACTGTTGGCTGTAAAGGGGGTTGCACACCGGACGAAAAGCGTCGCGCCACGTTTAGGACAACTCCACAGTAACGTTATCGAACACCGGACGCGCACTTTCTCATCAGTGTATGGCCAGCAATATTGTTATGTTTAATGACAGAAAATGAAGATAATGTCTGTTCTATGTTATGATTGCACTGTACAATTAAATACAATCGTTGCTGAGTCTGCAGTCTGAAAACTTTACCTTAGATCATCCGTTCACTGAATGAATTGAGAATCTCACCTGAAAAATCTAATAATAATCAGTAATTGTCATTCAAGCAGCTGATTTCTGTAAATCACTGCAAAACTAAATGCATATTGCAGCATAGGGCAAAGTAAGTCAGGATCCATTAGCAACGGTTTGAGGCAAAAATAATTACAATTTTATATAAAACTGTGTAAATGGCGCTCTGTGGCGCAGCAGGATTTTGAACACGGTCCTGAAACGTTGCTGGGCGCCGCGGACAGACGCCGAATGGCGCCGCCGGTATGTGTACACTTGTAGATAATAATGTGCTCGAATAATTATGTGGTACGACTTCTCGCCGCAGCTTCTCGTCCGGTGTGCGACCCCCTTAACGTTAATTTTGTGAAACTGTAGCTGTGGTTGAATACTTACACGACATGAAAAGATGTGTCAAATGTACATTGCAGATATCCGAAGTCTCCCGGAAGTTCCGGGAGTCTCCCGCATATTGATAGCGTTTTCCTGATGCCCGCAAATTAGTTCAAATCTCCCGGGATATAATGTTAGAGCGAGACATACTGCGCGCATAACACACAGCGCGCTGCGCGTGCACTGTACAGAGGGAGAGACTTTGCGAGTGTGCCTCACGAACGCGAAAGTTAGCCTTCCCTCCCACCCCCACAATCTTGTTATCGAAATATACCTCCCGGAAATGAATTCTTGCAGGTTGGGATAACTGACATTAAATAGATTTTTTATTTTTATAAAGTTACCAAGGAGGACCAGCCACGTCAACTCCTTGCAAGAGACCTGCCCCTTCAAACCCTCTCCACCATAGCTTCGTCCAGTGACTCGTACAGTAACATCTGTGATAACTAATTTACTTTTAAACCTGACTTTTCTTGCGCGGTTATTTCAGTTTAATGAAAAACAAGCATGTCATTAAACGCAACGTTTATAGAAATCGAACTTTACCTCATCCATGACAACTAATTTTCGATTCCCGTCTGACTGATTTATCCACGGTGGAGTTGAAAACAACAGTTCCCATCATTCCACGTTCCTCCACGTCGTCATCAAGCAAAGCCATTGTTGTTGTTTTGAATGTAGCGCCCTCTAGCGGCATCTAAATCTTAGGTATTGCACCTTTAACAGCTATAGAGAACAACACTTCAGTCTAACCTGATTTAACAGGTGTGTTTGATGGTCATTGTGATTTTGCTGAGTTAACCCTATAACCATAACTTATCTCCAATACCAGAGAGAAATGATAGGTGAATAACACTGATGTAGAAGCACTAAACTGTGTAAACTGAACATATAATAAACTGTAAACTTGTCCCTCAAATCTGATTGGTTGATTGGAATGTTGTTCTGGATCAATAAAGATGTTTATCCAGGAACATGTTATACTTGATGAAAACACATTCACTCTGTTGGTCAACTGTTCCCAGAGAGAAAAAAAGGACACATTTTATTATTTCAATTAATTAAATTAATAATCACATTGGCCCTCATTTATCAAAAGTGCGTACACCACATTTCCAGCGTACACCTTGCGTACACTCAAAACCACGGTGAGTTTTATCAATATGGACGTTGGCGTACGGCACGCTCGAATCCTACACCAGCTCAGGAGGTGGTGTACGAACGTTTTGAGTTAGTGAGGAAATGCGCAGAAAAATTCCTAACACCACAAAACGCACTGACAATCTAAAAGATATGATATATTATGACCCACTGTAAAACAAACAAACAAAAAACAACAACATAGAAATTATAAACTACAGTATTTATTTTTGTGTAACGTGGACTTCAATGTTTAATTTGTGTGACTTTACCAAAGCATTTGATTTGTAGCCTATATATTCCTTCAGTTGCGAGCCCACTTTACCCCGGCAGGTGCGCACGGATTGGGTTCGGTAGCCTAATGAAAGGCTTTCAATGACCAAAAAATAATTCAGACTAACAAAATAATAAAAAATACATTCTTCTTCTTTTAAATGATAATAATAATAGAAATAATAATAACGACATCCTTCTTCTATATAACAATCACAAAAATAACAAAAGCATCATTAATGCAAATCATAATAATAAGAAGAATACTATTACAAATTGTCATGCAATTATTAATGTGAATGAATGGTACTTCACATCATCATCATCACTATTGTACATGTGACGTGATTCAAAATTGAATGCTAATTTCAAAAGACGTGCTGTAAAATAATGCATTGTGATAGGTCATTTCGGCTCCACGTCGGAGAAGTTTCTCTTCTTTGCCGTCTTCCGTGTGTCCATGTCGTAAAATAAGGGCGTGGGGGAGGGGAGACTTGAATATTTAGGGGCGTGTTATTCTAATGACGATCGTTTTCGGCCGCGGTATTTATCAAGGGCAGGCATTGTGTACACCTGGATTTCAAAGGTACGCACATCTTCATAAATCAGGCGGTGAGAGGAGTGTAAGCATAATCTTACACCAAAATATACACCCGTTTCTACGCAAGATTGATAAATGAGGGCCATTATGTTTATTGTTGTTGAGCAGAAAGACCAAAACCCAGAGTGACCATTAAACCTGATCAACATGTGTTCAGAGGAGAGACGGTCACTCTCAGATGTGACATTGATGCTGAAGGAGTCTCTAGCTGGATGTACAACTGGTTTAAAGAAGGTTCATCAATAGATTCCAGTAAACTACAGGAACACACTATCAGTTATGTCTCTGAGTCTGACGCAGGGAAATACTCCTGTAATGGATGGGAGACTGAAGGATCAGGCATTTCACAACTGAGTGATGAAGTCACACTGACAGTATCGGGTGAGTTTGATCATCTCTTCATAAACACACACACAAGTTTAACATGTTATTAATGAGTGATGTCTGTATTTCAGTTCCCAGAACAGTGTTAAGTGTTTCTCCTCAGACGTGGTTGACTGAAGGAGATCCAGTGACTCTGAACTGTGAGGTTAACGGCTCTTCTACAGGCTGGACATTCAGCTGGTTCACTGAAAATCTCTTATCAAGTATTATAATGTCCTCCATGTGATAACATACACATTTACTGGTTTTATCAAAAACATTATTAAAGGTAATTTCCATTAGTGATTATCTGCATATTCTCATTTAACACAGGCAGGAATGTTTACTATGAGCCGCTCTCAGACAGCAGAAGAGGAGCTGGAGGAAAATACACTATCAGTTCTGTTGCTCTAAATCACACAGGAGTTTATATGTGCAGAGCAGAGAGAGGAAAACCAGTCTACACAACATGGCCCAGCAACAGACAACCACTGTGGGTCACTGGTGAGTTCACACTTTAGTTGAAATAATATCTTCATCTTTAATAAAGGCAATTTCCTAATTGTCTCTGTAATGATATCTTGTCAGGTGTTTCTCCTCCAGTGTCTCTGATCATCAGTCCCAGCAGAACTCAACACTTCACATTCGACTCTCTCTCTCTGAGCTGTGAGGACCAGAGTAACTCTGATGGATGGACAGTGGGAAGATACACAGAGAGTTTAGGGCTGGAAGATTGTTCATTATTACTGTGGGGATCACAAACAGGATCTACATGTACAATCAGCTCCACCAGCACATCATACACTGGAGTTTACTGGTGTCAGTCTAAATCTGGAGAGAAATATCATCCTGTTAATATCACTGTACACTGTGAGTCTGTGTTTCTGGATTTATTTATTTCATCGAGAGTTTATAATCAATGCAAGTGGGAAACTAAAAAGGTTATATTTTTATTATATTACCATTGTGTTGATGTATTGCATGTTTCTTCTATTTCTGAAGCTGGTGTGATTCTGGAGAGTCCTGTTCATCCTGTGACTGAAGGAGATAATCTGACTCTACGCTGTTTATATAATCATACATCCCCACCAATCCTCAGATCTGATTTCTATAAAGATGAATCACTCGTCCAGAGTCAAACTATAGAGATGATCATCCCGACTGTCTCAAAGTCACATGAGGGTTTCTACTACTGCAAACACCCGAGAGGAGAGTCGCTCAAGAGCTGGATCTCAGTCAGAGGTGAGACTGAGATAAATAAACACTAATAATCCTGTACAATTTACATGTAGATATAAAACTTATGTAGCGCCCCCTACCTGATCTTCTTGTGACTAGATAGAAAAGCACCCCAAGTTCACTTACTATATGCCTACAGATGTTGAAGTTAGGCCCCTCTGGTGTCACTAAATGAAGTAAATTCGTATTTTAGAACTTAAATGATAAGCTCTTCTCACCTTGTACTATATTACTCAAATTAAATGTATCACCCCCTAAACAATGGCGTAAACCGACACTTTCAAGAAATAACACAAGTAAAAGTACAGAACAAAATAAGATTTAATTGAAATAGAAATGTTGAATATTAAATGGCTCAAGGAATTAATTTACATGTGTGATATGTTCACACAATTATCCTCACATTAACTGGATCACACTTCAGTCCCAGAAGGACAATAACTCTGATGCCAAACGCACAGGAATTAGAATACCGGCCAAAAAAAACCAATATAAAATAGCCGTATACCCAATAAAGTAAAACCCAAGATAACTTCCTAATTATAAACAGAAATACTCTGAATAGTTCACATTATCTGTGCAATGTTTAACACAAAATACACTAAATAAACAGTTGTGGGCCCACACACACACACCAGTCATAGAATCAACCCACCCCGTTGCAGGCCTGAATCGTGGCTTGTGTTCGTGGTGGCCGGGAAAACGACAAATGGCCCCTTCACTCTCCTGAGCACAAATAAAACAAAACAAATACCTCCAATTCCGCGTGAGAAACAATGCGGCAATCCGCGATTCCAGCAGCCGGCCGCGCGCAGCTCCTCGTCCTCTCGCTCGCTCGTTGGCCGAACGCACTCCGCCTCCCGCGGCGCCAGAGGAACCCCAAATATCACGGTTACTTGGGGCGCTATCTGGTCCTCAGTTGTCCGGAAACCGCAGCAATAAACAGTCTTTGATCCGGCAACAGTTTGGTTAGGTTACACGTTCCAAAGCGCTAATATATGCAGTGATGACTGACCGGAAAACTCGGATACACGCCCGCACGGCAGGTTAACCACCCGGGGCAAAAAAAATACCCAGGCTATAAACACAAAGAAACACACAAGCGATTCATCTCGGCTCTACTTTGCAGTTAAAGATGATTTAAACTTATAAATTGTCAATCAAATCACTCTGTTCACATAAACGTCTCTCCTCTCCTTCTCTCGTCTCTCTTCCTCCCTCCTTTTTTTTTTCTTGTACCACCACTCAAATCGTTCAAAAACCCTGGCGAGGGCGGGACTTAACTCCCTGAAACCAATAAAATAAAAAAACACCTAACATGATGATTAATACCACGTTTTTCCCCCTGTACCCATAGATCAAACTTGTATATCATGCATGCGCGCTCGTAAAGGAACAAATACCTTACACTCACTAACACAGATGAGAAGTTAAATCACATTTTATTTCTCAAGTAAATTAAATTACAAACTAATAAATTGAGAACGTATTACCAGCATTTTTATAACCTACTGGGTTACATGCTCCCCCGTCTAAACGTCTCATGACCCCATGAGATTACATCTCAACACCTTAATGGTGACTTTAGGCTCAGCAGAAGGGTTTACCCGAGTACAACGAATACACTGTGCCATAGGGTGACACCACATAGTGTTACAGGCTTTCCCTTCTGACTCTTCCCCACTCTCTACATTTATTACCATCCCCCTATGAATTAGAGTTAAAGGTCGGTTAGTGGGCTGTCCCAGATAATCATAGCTTAGCTTGACTACAGGTCTTATCTCTCTTTTAGGCCTGGAATTAACGGTCTCTACTACCTCTTTGGTGGAAGTAATTCTTTCAAGCTCTCCCCCTTCTAAACCAGGATCTCCCAGTGTCTCTGAACTCCAATCTGGCAACTCTTCAGACCCCTCTTCATTGGGTATCGGCTCGGCCATTGCTGCATGAAGTATATCCAAGTCCCCTCCACAGTTGTCAGTTTTACCATCCACGGTAGAGTCCAACAATGTAACGCACTCTGGCGGGTGCTGGTTCTCCACTCTACCTGCGCAGTAATGCCACACTTCATCCTCTTCACTGTCAGAGAGGTTACTCAATTCACACCCCGTCATGACCGTATTTCCTTCCCCTAAATCTCTTCTCCGTTTTCTCTCCCCAGATATGTGCCTGGTCTCCACTGGAGCAGAAACTCTGGTAAGTTCTCCAGTATCTCCCAACCTCACATGGTCCCCAACTGGCAAGAGATGGTCTCAGTGTAATGTTCTCACACCTCCCACGCCGGATGCAGGTTTCAGACGGTACACAGGTAAGTTCTCTAACTTTTCCACCACCAGGTAAGGCACAGAATTCCACTTGTCTGTTTGTTCTTTCCAGTCACACTCAGGTTCCGTGTCAGTACACGATCTCCCACAGTCAACTGTCCGGTTGAACCTTTCTGGCTGTGGATCTCCTTGTGGATGATAGGGAGACGTTCTGGATTTTCGAATCCCCAGCATGCTTAGTAACTCTTTTATGAGACCACTCTCAAAATCCCGACCTTGATCTGAATGAATCCGAGAGGGTAAGCCGTAGTGAATAAAGAATTTGACACACAGCATCTTAGCCACAGTCATAGGCTTCTGGTCTTTGGTTGTGAACGCTTGAGCGTAACGGGTGAAATGGTCGGTTACTATGAGAACATTACCCATACCCTTTGAGTCTGGCTCAATCGACAGGAAGTCGATGCACACTAAATCCAGTGGCCCACTGCTGGTTATGTGATTCAGTGGAGCAACCCTCTTGGGTAATGTCTTTCTTGTGACGCAACGGCCACAATCCTTAACATACTGCTCTATGTATGCAGACATTCTGGGCCAATAGAAACGGTCCTTAATGAGTTCCGTGGTTTTCTCCACTCCCAAATGGCCCGAGTCATCGTGTAATGAGTGCAACACAGTCGACCAGTACTTCTTAGGTAAGACAAGTTGTATCTTTTCGCTACCACTGGAACTTTTGGTAATTCGGTACAGAAGTTGATCTGTAGCTTGTCTCCCTGTCGCTGTACCAGAGCAATGGTAGCATCAGAACTCCTAGCACCGGTGAGTATTTTTCCCGACTCTACGTCTCGCTTTACTACCCCAACTACGGGGTCCTCTTCTTGTGCTTTCCGCAACTCTGCATTACTCAGCTGTTCCAACGGACCAAGACCCAAAGCTGTGGGACAACAAAAAGCATCAGGAATACTCTGAGGTAAGACACCCAAGGGTTCCACCAGTCGGGATGACGCCCCTCCATTTTCAGCAACCACTGCTAACTGACAGATGGCTCTTACCCCTGACTTGGGTATCTCCTTCCATTCAGGGCAAGCAGTTGATTCACATGGGTAGCGAGACAACACATCCGCATCGATGTTGGAATTTCCTGGTTTGTATTGCAAGCTGAAGTTATAAGTAGCTAAGGCAGCTAACCAGCGATGACCCGTCGCACTCAACTTGGCACTTGACAACACATAGGTCAGGGGATTGTTGTCGGTCTTTACCACGAACTGGGCTCCATATAGGTAGTCGTGGAACTTATCCACTACCGCCCACTTGAGCGCCAAGAACTCCAGCTGATGTATGGGGTATCGTTGTTCCGAGGCACTCAGTTTCCGGCTCGCGTAGGCCACGGGCCTCAGTCCTCCAGAATGCTCCTGATTCAAAACGGCCCCCAGTCCACTCAGACTAGCGTCTACATGCAGTACATAAGACTTAGCAGGATCCGCAAAGGCAAGTACTGGGGCATGTGTGAGACAGTCGATGATTTTATGGAACGCTGCTGTGCAAGTGTCGTCCCAACGCTCTCCAAAGGGTTCCGATACTCTGAAGTATATCTTGCCATCAATTGACTTGCTGTTTTGCCCAGATGTTGGCGGGTAACCTTTAGTGAGCTCTGTTAAAGGCCTTACAAAGGCGGAGTAATCCTTTATGAATCGACGGTAAAATCCACAAAACCCCAGGAATGACCTCAATGTCTTTAGGTCAGTGGGCCTTTTCCAGCATGTTACGGCTTCCACCTTGGCTGGGTCTGGTGATACTCCAGCAGCTGACACAATGTGACCCACATACCGAACTTGAGACTGGCAGAACTGGCACTTATCTATTGACACTTTCAGGCTATGTTGAAATGCAAGGAGTAAACTGGGTCTTACCAGTAGATGTAATGTCACGCAAGGTAAAGACAGACAAGATAAAAATAAAAATTAAATGAACTTTAAAAGTGAGTGAGACAGAGCAGGTAAAGAGAAGACTAGGGCAGCTTTTAAACCTATATGTGGTTAAGTTTGCTAAGTTTGAGCCAGACAGAACATCAACCTGACCATCAAGTAGCCAACTTTTATTGTCTCTCGAAATAATAGAGACTTTATTACAGTTTTTTACAATCTCTTTGTTACTATTTTCAGAACCTTGATGTCATTTTTCAAAACTCTAGACACAAAACTCACAACCAATGATCAAAATGCACATTTTAAAAACTCTAATCCTTTTCTCAATTGCTTGGATACAATATACATAAAACTTAGATCATTTGTTCATTCAACAAAAATCACCTGTTCAATATGATACAAGTTAACATCAAAGTACTATTTCAAAAGGCAATTCACACATTACATTTCAAATGAGTGTCTATTCATTTCCTTACAATGATCTAACTATCAAATGATACAACTGCTCAAAATGATAAGTAACTGCTGCGTTACTCTTAATGCATGACACACAATCTTCCATGTTTACAGTAAATCATGAAAGTTTCAAGATAATGAGATTCAATAAAACTGTGTTGTGATTGTAGTGTTTTGCATCATTATATCACACACTTTGTTAAATGATTCCACTGTGTGTGTATTCTCTCTCACTGTCAGAAAAAAAGGTACGAAAGCTGTCACTGGGGCGGTACCTTTTCAAAAAGGTACACTTTTGTACCTAAAGGTACAAATATGTACCATCAAGGTACCAATATGCATCCTTTAGGTCCAAAAGTGTACCATCAAGGTACCAATATGCACCCTTTAGGTCCAAAAGTGTACCATGAAGTTACCAATATGCACCCTTTAGGTACAAAAGTGTACCATGAAGTTACCAATATGCACCCTTTAGGTACAAAAGTGTACCATGAAGTTACCAATATGCACCCTTTAGGTACAAAAGTGTACCATGAAGTTACCAATATGCACCCTTTAGGTACAAAAGTGTACCTTTTGAAAAGGTACCGCCCCAGTGACAGCATTCGTACCTTTTTTTCTAGTGCCATAGGCTAATGAAACCTGGATCACCTATTTTGTTCTACAACATTTAATGATTGTACGAAAAATGATAGTGAAACTATCGGTTGCTTGTGTGTGGGTGATAGTTTTGTTTAGTCCTATTTCACAGTAAATTTGTTTTTTGAACCAGTGATTGTGCAAGTGCAAGATTTCTTTAAAGATGTGAATGCACTATGCAATGTTTTGAACATTAGACAGCCTGTGTTACAAGTGATAACCGTTTTGGGTTTTGTGTCTAGAGTTCAGAAAAATGGCATCAAGGTTCGGAAAATAGTAAAAAACTGTAAATTATAGACCTATCTTTTGAATTGACATCGAATCTTAGCTTATCGCTTAGAAATAATCAATATTGTATCATTACAATTCAATCAACAATAATAACTTTAGCGGATTATTTAAAATACCTCAATTCATGTCGCTTCTAGAAGGTCTGATGCTATAGATCTGTAATGAAATAGGACTAGGCTCATATAACGTCACTAGTGTAGTCTCCCCCTACTGGACGCATCAGGAACAACAGGGGCTTAAAACTGTCAGGGGCGTAAAACTGCTGGCTCCAGGTCTGCAGCCTCCCCCTACTCACGAGTGCACTGAGCGGACGCAAAATGAAACGTCTCCATTAATTTGTGCATGTAGTCATTTAATGCAATACTTTAAAGGCCTTTTTTTTTAAAAAAAATATTGGCTACTTGGGTAGGTTTCTAAAAATGCTAATTTGTAGGCCATTGAATTTTTTTTTATAAATGTGCCTCTGTTTTATATATGTGCCATTGTTCTTCCGACTATTACTGTACTTCATTTTATTTTTATTCTAAATTGTTTTAATTATTTACTGTATTTTATTTGTATTATTATGATTTTTTTTTATTCTAAACTGTTTTAATTATTCTGATTTCTTTTGATTATTTAAATTTCTTCCATGTAAAGCACTTTGAATTGCCACTGTGTATGAAATGTGCTATATAAATAAACTTGCCTTGCCTTATAATAATATATTCATTAAAATTTAAAAACAAACATGAACTAACATTAACAATGGACAAAATCCCCACTATCTGACCCCTGGACGCCGCTGTGTAGGCTAATTCAAACCCAGACAAAGACCCATTGGGTGAAATAATACTATAATGCATATAAAAAAATCAAGAATCGAATCGAATTTGGATGTGAATCGCATCGAATTGAATCGTTCTAAATTTGCACAAATCGTTCTTGAATCGAATCGAAAACCTATGAATCGTGAATCGAATCGATTTGCTGTCTACCCAAAGATTCACAGCCCTAGTTTGAACAGTTTCAAGTGATTTATTGTTCTTGGATTTTTTTCTTTTCATGCTGATCTCAGTTTCAAATCCAGCTCTAGTCCATGATCTCTGAGTGAAAGACGAGCTTGAGAGAGGAAGTGAGCAGATAGTGCTGTTTGTGAAAGAGAAATGCACTGTGTTGTGTTTGGGTTACTCTGTTCAGTCACTCAGTGTTTTGCTTTGTTACGGTGTTTGCTGAATAATTTCTGTTGGTTTGTTTTGTACTCATTGGCATTTCTGTTGTTCTGTTTGCTGTCCATGATGCACTAAGTAGATGTGCACTAGATAGTCTTCAGTAGATGTTCACTAGTATGCAGAATTTCTGAGTTTTCAGACGAAGGTTTTTACAGACGCTTCGGTTATGGTAGGTTTAGGTATGGGTAGGGTTAGGGTTAGACCACTAGGAGGCGCCTTCTGCCCAATATATCTGCGTCTCATTTGACGCTAAAGGGTGCCATGTGCGTTGGATGTCTGCACTTTGGCAAAAGCATCGTATATGACGCCTTGGGATGAGAACGGACTCTACTGACCTGAGGCATGCGTTTAAAGGTTTAACGTATAACGCAAAATGGATACGCTCAATGGTCTCACTGTAAAAACTGTCTGATTTTCCTGTGTTTGTCTGAGCTGTCACTTTGGTGGCTTACCAATGTATTTGATTTTTCTAATGCATATAATAATAAGCTTGACCAGAGTTCTTGAATAATTTACTGAAGGTAGTGTAGCACATTCTTCAGCGATGACGTTAGCATGTCTTCAGAGAATCTGAACCCAAATTTCTGTCTGTGGGACAGACCCTATTTACAAACTAAACACATCTCAGGGACCACTAAGAGAAACAGCCGTTTGACTCATGGGAAGAACTCTGCTAATAATTTCCCACAGAAACTCTTTCAGGATAACCAACGAATGAGTTTAATGATCGTCTGTTAAAACGTTTAAAAATACCTAATCTTTCATGAGTTTTTTTTTTTGTACTTTGCATTTCAGTGCTGATTTCAATCATCCACTCTGGACACACTGAAGGTGAGTGAATTTGATTCATACATGTACGGTGGCCGAGAGAGCTCAACGCGCTGAAGAAAACATGCAAATAGAAAAAAAAACGACACCATATATTTCATAAATATCGAATCATAGAGTATCTTTTGACATTTGCTTTGTCTTGAAAATTAGCAACTCTACAGACTGAACTGAACATATTGAATAAAAACAAAGTCATTTGAACTACAACAATTTGCAACACTTTGCTGATACGGATTTGTCTCTCTGACTGGATGTTGGTTTCTGTGTTGAGCTCAGGGTGTGTTTGAACATAGGCTGCTCTTTGCATCTTTGTTGTCCTTTAACTCTTTGCATTGCACTGAATGAATGTTAACCTTGATGTTGCCAGTTACTATACTACATTGTCTGTGAAATCAAAATGATTTACCAGTAAGAGAACGAGACTTGACTTAAGTTAACACTGGGGATTTTGCTGTGCAGTGAGAGAATGAGATCTGCTGAAAAACTTCACATCTCATGTTCCCACTGACTTTATATTGACAGATTTTCCCAAACCGACTCTGACTGTTGAGACACAGAGTTCAGTGATCACTGGAGACAGAGTTACTCTGAGATGTTCGCTGGATCAGACACTGGGTGGATGGGAGTTTCTCTGGAGTAAAGACTCAAACGCTGAAACTACTGATGCTGCAAATAAAGTAATCGATCCTGTGCAAATCTCTGATGGAGGACAGTACAGATGCAGAGCACGAAGAGGAGGACGTTACACAGATTACAGTGAACCAGTAACAGTGACAATATATGGTGAGTATTTACTCTCACTTTATGACCTGCTCTGAGAAATTACTAACAATAATTTCATAAGACACTTAATACATGACTATAAAGGCCGGAACACCCCAAGCCAACGGTCGGCCGCCTGCCAGATTCGTGCGTTGGCCAACTAAGTTTCCTTGGTGTGATACACACAGTTCTGTGCTGTTGGCTGAAAATAGTCCTCGTCGGCTTTGTTTCGCGCGATTCGACATGTTAAATTGGCGTCGGGCCGTTGGGGAAAGAGAACTCTGATTGGCTGTTCAGCTTAGTGAAAGAGTCAGTGCACGAGAATAAACGCAAAACAGCAAGCAAAGAAGTCAAAACGGTAAAGCTAGAAGGCTGTTCTTATGTTACGTCTTCTTACCTGAGTGTTCCTTGGCGAATATTTCAATATTAACACGAGTGGAGTGGAATAAAGAAAGTGTTCAGCAGGATTGATATTCTAAACGGTAAGGACGCGCTGCTTTGTTTACGTTATGTGTATCTGAAGCCGGCAGCGTCGGTTTTCTTTTTGAATGACGAATATCCACAAGTTTCCTATGTCCCATGAGGCCTTGCGTCAAAAGTGGGCGCGTCTTCCGGTTGGAAGTAAACAAAGCGCGACTTGACATGCTTGACACTCGTTCATTCAACAGTTGACAGTCATTCAAGTTAAAAACTAGCTAACGATGTGGGAACACGACCTCAACGAAATTCAAAAGGGTGAAATAAGAGTACCTTTACCCTCCGCAGTAGCTGATTGGGAGTATTATAATAACATTATTAATAATCAATACTCATCAAGGCACGGTGACAGACAGTTGTGTGAGCTGACAAACAATTCAAATAAAAAATACACACTTAGTCATTGTGCTTTGGAGTTTATTCAAAATTATAAATGAATGTGCTACTTGAATTCATTAACTGGCACATTTGGTATTCTGTCAACACAGGCTTTGATCCTGAGTTTAGCTGTAACATCAATAGCGAACAGCCAATCACATGCTGATAGAGTTTATAGAATATTAAGAATTTAAACAAATGTACACAGAAAGATTCGTTGTCTTTTGGAAGGTGATGGAAACTAGTCGTTGGCAGGATCAGAGACGGGCTCTGGCAGGATCACTCTGATTTCGTTTTCAGCTTATGTTCAAAACAATCACGTTTAAGCCACTGAATTAGTTTAGTCCGGTTATACATACAACCGCGAACAGCACATGTTGTCCATGAGCTCCGTTACGACATCTCTCATAAAGATTTGCGTCTTTAAACAACACTTCAGTCTAACCTGATTTAACAGGTGTGTTTGATGGTCATTGTGATTTTGCTGAGTTAAACCTATAACCATAACTTATCTCCAATACCAGAGAGAAATGATAGGTGAATAACACTGATGTAAGCACTAAACTGTAAACTGAGCATATAATAAACTGTAAACTTGTCCCTCAAATCTGATTGGTTGATTGTAATTTTGTTCTGGATCAATAAAGATGTTTATTCAGGAACATGTTATACTTGATGAAAACACATTCGCTCTGTTGGTCACTTAAGAAACTGTTCAGAGAGAAAAAAGGCACATTTTATTATTTTAATTAATTAAATGAATCATCACATTATTTTCATTGTTTATTTATTGTTGTTGTGCAGAAAGACCAAAACCCAGAGTGACCATTAAGCCTGATCAACATGTGTTCAGTGAAGAGACGGTCACTCTCAGATGTGACATTGATACTAAAGCAGTCTCTAGCTGGATGTACTACTGGTATAAAGAAGGTTCATCAATAGATTCCAGTAAACTACAGGAACACACTATCAGTTATGTCTCTGAGTCTGACGCAGGGAAATACTCCTGTTATGGATGGGAGACTGACGGATCAGGCATTTCACGACTGAGTGATGAAGTCACACTGACAGTATCGGGTGAGTTTGATCATCTCTGCATTAACACACACACAAGTTTAACATGTTATTAATGAGTGATGTCTGTATCTCAGATGAAGCCCAGGCAGTGTTAAGTGTTTCTCCTCAGACGTGGTTGACTGAAGGAGATCCAGTGACTCTGAACTGTGAGGTTAACGGCTCTTCTACAGGCTGGACATTCAGCTGGTTCACTGCATCAGGTATTATAATGTCCTCCATGTGATAACATATACATTTACTGGTTTTATCAAAAACATTATTAGAGATAATTTCCATTAGTGATCATCTGCATATTCTCATTTAACAAAGACATGAGTGTTCGTGATGATCAGCTCTCAGACAGCAGAAGAGGAGCTGGAGGAAAATACACTGTCAGTTCTGTTACTGTAAATCACACAGGAGTTTATGTGTGTGAAGCAGAGAGAGGAAAACCAGCCTATAAAACATACATCAGCAACAGACAACCACTGTGGGTCACTGGTGAGTTCACACTTAGTTGATTCAGAGGTGTAAAGAGTAACGAAAACTGAGTAAAGGTACAGATACCTTACAGCTAAAATAACTCACCAGTTACTTTCCACCTCTGGATTTGTAAGTACAGTAACTATTCAAACTATTACATTTACTCCAATATTATACACCACTGAAATGATTAATTCATCTTTAATAAAGACAATTTCCTAATTGTCTCTGTAATGATATCTTGTCAGGTGTTTCTCCTCCAGTGTCTCTGATCATCAGTCCCAGCAGAACTCAACACTTCACATCCGACTCTCTCTCTCTGAGCTGTGAGGACCAGAGTAACTCTGATGGATGGACAGTGACGAGATTCAGTGACAATTGGTGGCCTGCAGATTGTTCATCATTTCCCTGGGGATCACAAACAGGATCTACATGTACAATCAGCTCCACCAGCACATCAGACACTGCAGTTTACTGGTGTCAGTCTAAATCTGGAGAGAAATATCATCCTGTTAATATCACTGTACACTGTGAGTCTGTGTTTCTGGATTTATTCATTTCCCTGACAGTTTATAATCAATGCACAGTGGGAAACTAAAAAGGTCTGTTTTTTTATTATTTAATTTTGCTTGTTTTTATTATATTACCATTTTGTTGATGTATTGCATGTTTCCTCTATTTCTGAAGCTGGTGTGATTCTGGAGAGTCCTGTTCATCCTGTGACTGAAGGAGATAATCTGACTCTACGCTGTTTATATAATCATACATCCCCATCAATCCTCAGATCTGATTTCTATAAAGATGAATCACTCGTCCAGAATCAAACTATAGAGATGATCATCCCGACTGTCTCAAAGTCACATGAGGGTTTCTACTACTGCAAACACCCGAGAGGAGAGTCGCTCAAGAGCTGGATCTCAGTCAGAGGTGAGAGTAAGATAAAAAAAACACCATTAAAAATAATCCTATACAATTTACATGTAGATATAAAACTTATCTGTTTCTCCAGCCTCAGGATCTGATAGTCCCACTCCTGTGATAATTGGAGTGATTGCAGGACTGACTGTTGCAGTTTTGATCATTGTCTTCTTGGTCCTGCTTTGGTGCTGCAGAAACAAAGGTTAAGTGCTCTAAATCAGTCATTTATTAGTGTAACCGAGCTTTTGTATTGGGTTCGCCTAAACACTTTTAACTAATAAAATAATAAAAACGGGAGACAGAAGTTCCATGAACGATGCAAACTCTTTTTATTCTTTCTCTTAACTCTCCTTAAACACATGTGCTCCTCATCCACTTATGCGCATGCTCCTCCCCTCTTGCCTATGGCAAGTCCCAAAGGACAGAATGTGTTACACACGCACAAACAGAACATTACTGTAGCCTTAGCTTCTACTTTAATCTGTTACATACGTCCCATCCCCCTAAAATAAACGTCCCCGTTTATCTACCAAATAACAAGGGATAGAACGGAAAACAGGAACAAGAATAATACACATCAACATGTATAATACTCAAACCTATGTCCAACCATAAAACAGTTTGTACACTATGGAATCACAATGCTCACTTATACATTTTCCACTCTGCACAAGAATCTTTTTTTTTTTTTTTTTTACAACAATGAACCTCAGTACCGTACAAAAATCTTTCAAGAAACCAGGAGGTTTCAACCTTCTCCCAGCCCTACTCATAACAGGAATGAGTTTTTCAGGTCCCTGAAGTACCTCTCCTTAATCCTCTCGAGGTGAACTGCACTTCACTCCCCCCAATATTTCAGGCTCCTTAGGAGGGGAATCAGGTAAAGAATCCGGAACCACAGACAGTTTCTCAGTAGAAGACAGTGTTGGAAAAGGCAGTGTATAAGGTCTCAACCTATTGTAATGTACAACCTGACCTCGTTCATCTGAGTCTATAGGGCTAACGATCCGGTACGTCAGTCCAGGCTCTCCACCAGACTCCATGACCTGCACAATCTGAAAAGGTCCTTTCCAGTGGGGTGCTAGCTTCATACGGCTCTCCACAGGGTTATTGAGCCACACCATGGCACCGACTGTATAGGGCTGATGTCTGAGGTCCGAATCATGGTATAGTTTATATCGATCAAACGCCACCTCGCTGTACATTCTTGTGCTCCTGAAAGCGTTTTGCAGCTTTGCCAGCAGAGTGGATACGAAGTCAGCATGAGACTTTGAAACGTCACAGTCAAGTATACGGGTGGCCAGTAAACAGTCAGTGGGCATCCTTGGTTCCCGTCCATGGACTAGGAAGTATGGCGAGAACTTGGTACTAGAATGATTTGAGGAGTTGTATGCAAATGCTACCTGTTTGATATAATCATCCCACCGCTGCCACCAATGTAACCAAGCTTTTGTATTGGGTTCGCCTAAACACTTTTAACTAATAAAATAATAAAAACGGGAGACAGAAGTTCCATGAACGATGCAAACTCTTTTTATTCTTTCTCTTAACTCTCCTTAAACACATGTGCTCCTCATCCACTTATGCGCATGCTCCTCCCCTCTTGCCTATGGCAAGTCCCAAAGGACAGAATGTGTTACACACGCACAAACAGAACATTCCTGTAGCCTTAGCTTCTATTTTAATCTGTTACATTAGCAGTGTTGTGCAAGTTACTTCCAAACTGTAATACATTAGGTATTACTTGTTACTGTTATTTAAAAGTAATTCATTACCTTACAATATTACTGTCTCAGAATTGTAATGCGTTACATTACTCATGTATTACTTTTGAGTTACTTTCACCAAAATAACTAAGTAGAACAGCTTTGGGGCTGTAAGGATATGCAATATGAAACCGAAATCGCAATTCGCCACACGACTCAGATCCACGAACAGAATCGCGACACACCTCTTCCAACTCCAGCGTTATTCTCCTTACCGTCCAGATCCAATGCTGCCTTATCTTTAAATTAGGCTTTTAGTATTATTTGAAGTTAACATTATAAAATACGTAGACCTACACCACAAAACTAGTTAAGGAGCATTATGGACATGACATTTGCAGTCAAAACTTGAAATAAAAATTCTCAGAAAATACATGTATTGAAACGTATAGGCTACTTCCTCAAAGGACTCCAGACATCAGACAAATATCAGTCTATGTTTTATTTTTAATATTCGGGAAAAGACACACATTCATGCGTGACAAAAAAAAAATAGGAGGCAAAATATATTTTTTGTAGTTCTGTTAATTACACTGCGCAAATCTGATGAGGAAGGGTTGGCTCTCCAGTCTCCATAGAACTTAAAATATTCATTTTATTTCAGTTTTCGTGTTCGCATTTATGAGGAAAAAACAATGTTACAGACGCGACCGCTCTGAACTGGCACTAAAAGACTGCTTTAAAACTTTCACATAGTCTGTTGCCTTTAAGAAGTAAAAGCAGACAATACACTGTAATACAACTGTAATACAAGCCTCACTGAACATGTAACGAGTAAAATATTACTGAAAATTGATTAGTAATGCCTTACACTACTGCGTTACAGCAAAAAGTAATATGTTACTGTAATGTATTACTTTTGTAATGCGTACTCCCAACACTGTTTATTAGGCTTCACTTGTGGCCTATGAAGACAGTGAGAGAGGCAGCTTAATGTTTTAGAACACAACAATAATGTGATGAATTAATAAAAACATTTCATAAACACTTTGTAATTCTCAAACATGTACTGTATACATGAAAGAGATTAAAACCCACGGCCCAGATCTAGCCTACATTCGCCACATGTGTAATCTACATGTTCCAGATGTGGGCCGGATCTGGGCCGACATGTTGCTGTCTGAGAAAGTCAGTTTTCCTCAAAACATTTACTCAAATATTTCATGTTTGACTAGGTGTAAGATCTGAGTCTCGCTCTACTGTCAGTCAACAGCAGAACATCAGTCAGACATCAGAGCAGAACCAGAGTGAAGCCGGACACAACACACTGTCTGGTCAGTCTTAACTTATTAATATACACATAAATGTACACAATCTGAGATAAAAGACACGTAGGAATAACTTTTCACTATAAAGCATATTTCAACTAGATAATTCACTCTTGATTTGCTCTACATATAAAATAATAAATAAACTTTTAAAAAGAACTACTGAACTCATCATAATGACATGAAATACTTCAGAGGTGGAAAGACCAGGGGTCAAAAAGTAAAAGTCCTGCCATATTTGTAGTGTTAAATTAACTTCACTGGGAGTTTAATTGGATCCAGACTCAAGAGTGTTAAAGATAATGAGATAATTAAGTGAATAATTGAGTGATGATTGACCATTTATGAAGACACCTGATGATAACAAGCAGAATCACTGAAGGAGAAAATCTATTTTTAGTCACTATTATGGGCTTTAGTTGGGCAGCTGACCGTTGAATATTTAACTTAAGATTTTGTTTGGCAATTGTAATTGAATTTTAACAGCCAGATGAACAAAGAGAAAAGGTGATCAGATGTTGTCGGTTATGTTTTGACAAAATCATTATTTGACTTGAATCACTGAACTCATATAGAGTCTAATCTTTGACTTTAATGTATAATGATCATAACAGCATCACAGTGATTATATAGCATTACATCCAGATTTTTCAATATAAACCAAATGATATCTTAAAACTTGTTCTGATAAGAAAAAAGCTTTCTTTTAGGCACACACAGACATCAAGATTCAATGTATGTGTCTCAACAATGGTGACAAACAGAATATTCGATTAGGAAAAGGAAATTACAAAGACAATTCAGATCATAATTTATTCATAACGCAATGCATGATGGGAGCTATGAATGAGTCTTGATTGGTGGCACCCAGAATACACTGCAACATGCTTTATTATTGTCACCATTGTTGAGAATCTCAGGCTGATTCTTGATGTCTGTGTGTCTAACTAAAATGTTCTTCTTTTTAATAGAACAACTTTTAAGAAATGTTTTGGATAATATTTAAATTACTGAAAATATTACATTGTGTAATCAAAAAGGTTAAACAAATGAGACAAATGAGTTTTGTGACAAATGATGATTACGTCAATAAATAACAAACATCACCTCATAAGCTTTCCACGTTGTTCATCTGGCAGTTATAACTCAGGTACAGCAGTCAAACAAAACTAACATTAACAGTTTAAGAGCCCAACTAAAGCAAACACTGATCACCATAACAGTGACTTTCTCCTTCATTGATTCTGCTTGTTAACATCAGGTTTCTTCAATAATGCTCAATCATCACACAATAAACCACTTTTGTGAATGTGTGAATTATCTCATTATCTTTAACACTCTTGAATCTGGATCCAAATAAACTCCCAGGAAAGTTAATTTAACACTACAATGGGAGGACTTTTACTTTTTGGCCCCTGGTTTTTCCACTTCTGAAGTATTTCATGTCATTCATAGTTCACTCATCATAGTTCAGTAGATATTTTTTAAAGTTTATTTATTATTTTATTAGTAGAGCAAATCATGTTAAACCAGTGTATTATTTCATTCTCTGTTCGTAGATGATGTAAGTGGGCCGACTGAGATCACATATGCTGAGGTTGAACTCAAATCTACAAAGAAACAGGAGAAAGAGAACAAAGGTAAACTGAAACAGAAGTCTCTGCTCTTATGATTTTATGATTATGAGTGATTCTGCGAATTTGCACTGTAAACTGATCTGATCCAAAAAAGGTCATTGCATGCAAATTGTTTATTTTGATGTAATTTGGATTACGTCTCTTACTCATTTTGAAATAAAATGATCCTCTCTGTAACAAAAAAAAAAGATTAAACACTATGTATGCATATTTGGATGAGTTAAGGGTGATTGGGACATTAGTTTGAATGGGACAGTATAACTACAGTTTAATTTCTCACCTAATGGGTGAAAATAAAACTTTTTTATTTCTGAGCCCTATAATCAAAACTGGATATG